GTGTGTCTTTTCTCTAAAGCAACGGGATAGTGGTTACAGTCAGCTCTCCATATCCATGGATTCTGTATCCATAAATTCATTAAAAAAGGGACACCATTTTAATACGTCATTGTATATAATGGTACTTTGGTATCCACAGAAGACTCTGTAACCAAACTGCAGCAGAAACCAAAGTATATTGTGTCTCCTAAACTCACCAAAGCTGGATTGTGTGTAGTATGATATTTTATTTGTTCCAGCACTGAGTGACTTCACAACCTCTGAGGATGCCTGCCATAGATGTGGGCAAAACTTCAAGAGAGAACGCTTCTGGAATATGGCCATACAGCCCGGAATACCCAATAACCCAGTGATTCTGGCCATGAAAGCCCTCGACAATACAATAGCAATATTATATTATTATTACATTCTCTGAAGATACCAGCCACAAATGCAGGCAAAACATCAGGAGAAAATGCTGCTAGAACACGGCCATACAGCCGGGAAACCACACAACACCCCAATATTATTTCTGACTATTATTATAGATTTGTTTCTCCATTAGAGGGAAGTGTTTTACAAGTGCATTTTTTAGTAGATCACCAATATTAATAATGTGATTTTCATATTTGGCAGAAAAAATATATATTTTACTGGTTTAAACTAAGCCATTATCAAGAGCTATTTATTTATTTATTTATTTATTTGTTTGTTTGTTTATTTATTTCTGGTATTTCTACCCTGTCACTTTTCTACCCCAGAAGGGGGACTCAGGCCGGCTAGTGATGCAAAACAAAAAACACAAACAAATACCTTGGATTCTCTCGTTCTGGGCATATATCTCTTTGAGACATTCTACTTCCGCTTGATGCAGCAAATAAATCTGTTCTTCTTTAGTTAGAACATCATCAGTGTCCACCTGACGGGCAGAGAATAAAATAAGAGGAGAAAAAAGTGAGGTTCCCACTCCATCTGCTCCCCGACTTCAATTTGGCCCCTCAATTCCTAGTAAGTTGCTACTATTTGATCTTGCAGAATCCAGAAATGAGATGAAACAACAAAATTGTCTCCATTAGCAGACATGACTGTAGCACCTGTAAATATTTATTTCTACACTTCCTAGGAATATCATATTCATTTGCCATGATACCTGGATATACTAGCATTCCTCTTCCATTCCTATAACTTTTCTTTATTTTGTATATTAAAGTGTAAGAAATTCATTTACACCATAACAACAACAACAACAACAACAACAACAACAACAACAACTTTATTTTTATACTCTGCCACTATCTCCCCAAGGGGACTCGGGGCAGCTTACATGGGGACAAGCCCAAAATCACAGGTAAAACAACAGCATTAAAAACAATCAAATAAATCACAACACAATCACATCAGCAACAACATTAAAACGATATCATGGCTGAAAAGCAGAGTTGGGCTGGGTCTAGGCTCAAATAGTGCAATGAATTCTTAAGTGGAGCCAAGGGAAAGTGCAAAATTCAAGTGTGCCAATCTAGAAATAATACCTTGTCGAGAAAGTATCAAAACTGGCGGGGTGGGCTGAGATAAAGTGCAGGAGTGTAGATAGCATCAAGTTCATCTCTGGTGAACAGCTTAATCAGAGGCACAAGGGAACAGCCAGGTTTTTAGGTCCTTACAGAAAAAGGACCCAGTGGGTGCCTGTCTGAGCTCCTTAGGGAGAGAGTTCCAAAGCCGGAGGGCCACCACTGAGAAGGCTCTCTCCCTCGTCCCCACCAATCGTGCTTGAGACAGCAGTGGAAGTGAGAGAAGGGCCTCTCCTGATTATGTTAGGATCCATACTGGTTCGTAGAGGAAGAGGTGATCGGGAAGCTAGGCATGACCATTTCAATAGACTAGCAAACAAGCAATTAGGTAATCGATAATACTCGCAGGAACACCTCAGCAAGCAAGAGTCCAAAAGTGGCAGGCTAAGACCAAGTACCTCAATCCATGACTGATACCAAATGAGAGAGACTATCCTGGGCACACAGAAGACTGGGCAATTTGGAAGGTGCTAAACAGACTGCACTCTGGCACCACGAGATGCAGAGCCAACTTTAAGAAATGGGGCTACAAAGTTGAGTCCACGACATGAGAGTGTGAAGAAGAGCAAACCACAGACCACCTACTACAATGCAACCTGAGCCCTGCCACATGCACAATGGAGGACCTTCTTATAGCAACACCAGAGGCACTCCAAGTGGCCAGCTACTGGTCAAAGGACATTTAATAGAATAGCAAGTTTCTAAACTTTTGTGTTTTCTCAAATACATTGGTTCACTCCTGATACGATAAATAAAATAAGGAAATTGAAGAGGAGAAAAATTATTGTTGCCTCCTGTTCACAAGACCCTCCCAAAGCCTGCAATGGACCTGCTAGGTTAAAAAGTCTTGCTTTAGTGGAGTGACCAGGTAAACATGATGGCATCAGAGCCACTAAAAATGCACCCCAAGAGTTATGAGACATCTTTGTATTTTCCAGCGACTCACTCATTTCCTGTGCAAAATTGCCAGGAAATGGAGGAGCTGAGTGAGACAAAGGCAGGGAGGGAGACAATGGGAGCAGCTCCCTGCGGCAATTAAATCGCCCATCCGAACAGGACTTTTTCAGAAGCCTGATAATGACTTATCGATAATGAAATTTCCATCATGGTTGCAGCCATCTGGGAAAGGCAGCAGCATAAAGGGCAGAGGCTGACTGGAACCCCAGGTGCGATGAAAAAGATAAAATCAGGAACAACCCAGCAATATTGTTCGAATTAGAACGCTATTTCATTTTAACGGCACCGTCCACTAGAAATGAGACTTTTCAGATTGGAACTGATCCAAATCTAGGTCCTAAAAATAAAAAAGCAGGGCCTTTTAAGAAACTGGGAACTGCCGGGAAATATTCATGTTGGACAGCCAGCAGACTACGCAAGGGTGACGGAAAGAGGGACATTAAATGGCTGTTATCATTTAATCCGCATCTTCCTCTTTGGGTCTGTGTGTTGTGTAAACCTGTAGGAATCAGATCTCTCATACAGACGTTGAACAACCTTTAAAAGGTAAAGGTTTTCCCTTGACATTAAGTCTAGTCGTGTCCGGCTCTGCGGGGTGATGCACATCTCCGTCTCCAAGTCGAAGAGCCGGCATTGTCTGTACACACCTCCAAGGTCATGTGGCCAGCATGACTTCATGGAGCACCATTACCTTCCAGCCAGAGCAGTACCTATTGATCTACTGTATATAGTCGAGTATAAGCCTAGTTTTTCAGCCCCTTTTTAAGGCTGAAAAGCTGCACTTGGCTTATACTTGAGTCAAAGATATTTATTATTTTACTCTGTTATTACTATTATTTTATTACATTTATTATTTTACTTTATTATTGTTGTTATTACATTTATTATTTTACTCTATTATTGGCATTATTACATTTGCATTATTTTATTCTATTACTATTTTATTACATTTATTTTACTCTATTATTATTATATTCATTATTTTACTTTATTATTGTTTTATTACATTTATTATTTTACTTTCTTTATTATTATTGTAAGGATACATAAGCACATTTACACTGAAAAGGGTTAGAATAATGGTTTAATCAAAGTTGATCCGCCTTATTTTAAATTACAGTTTTATGTAAACATTGAAAAACATTTAACCTACTGTTTCCTCAAAAATATAATTTTATTAGTATCTATATTTATTTTGAATTACCAGTAGCTGCTGCATTTCCCACCCTCGACTTATACTCGAGTCAATGAGTTTTCCCATTTTTGGCGGGTAAAATTAGGTGCCTCGGTTTATATTCGGGTCGGCTTATACTCGAGTATATACAGGACCTACATTTGCATGTTTTCGAACTGCTAGTTTGGCATAATAATAATAATAATAATAATAATAATAATAATAATAATAATAATAATCTTTATTTATACCCCGCCACCATCTCCTCCAATGGGGACTCGGAGCGGCTGAACAACAAATTACAATACAAAAAATACAAAATTACAAGAAAATAAACAACATAATAATAAAGGGGAAAAAATCAAAGCATATAAACAATACACATAAAACATAAAACCAAAACATAATAACAGAGAGCGGGCCGCATGTACATAAAGTGATTTTAAAAACTCCGAATGCAATAAGAGGGTAAAACTAATTGTAGGGAGAATTCATGGAGAGACAGGATGATAAACTAACCTATGTACCGGGGGGGGGGGGGGGAACTCCTGGGACAAAACGCTGAGGGAGCAATAGCATAGGGTTGTGTGACTACTAGAAGCTGGGGCTAACAGCAGGAGCTCATCTCATTCCGTGGGTCTCAGCTTAAGCGGCTGAGTGGGAAAAGGAAAGGGCCTGAGGCCAAGAATTGTGGGACTTGAAGTCCAAAACACCTGGAGGGACAAAGTTTCCCCATGGCTGGTGTAGATGCACTCTGAGTTTAACTAATAAATCAACAATAACTGTGAAAGCAAACTCCCAAAAGTGATATTCCCAAGCCCTGGGAAGAAAATATATGCCCATATCTGCGGGTCTAAGAGATCTATGATTCCCTTTCAACCTCTGAAATATTTTTGTGCAGATTTTCAGGATTCCTACACCAGTTTGTTACAGCTGTCACCCTGTTGACAGATAGTCCCCCTTCTCTCTCTCAGAAGTGGGAAGAACAAGCTGCCCCTTGTCTCTTTCGGCCTTTGACAGCGTTGTGTTAAGTTCACAAGCCACAGCTCCGAGGTCCAGAGACAGATAACAAGCACGTAGGGAGAGATGGTGGGAGGTGATGCTATCAACCCAAATACCAAGTTACATTCAAGAATACTGCATGGACCCTGTATAACACTGGGGTGCATCTGCACTGCATAATTAATATATTATGTATATTAATTATGCACTGTATAACATTGGGGTGATTCTTCACTGCATTAACTTTGATGCCACTTTAACTGCATTGTCTCAAGGAGGGTTTAGTTCTGCAAGATCTTTAGCATTCTCTTCCAAAG